CAAAGAGTGCCTACATACATACATACGTACATACATACATAAATGTGTTCACATACGTACACACCTACATACATACCCACGGTCATTCTTACATGCATACATACATACAACCATATACATAGATGCATACATCGGATGTGAGCAGCATCGTGTACTTGAGCCGCATGCTGCGCATGGGTTCTGTTCGGTAGATTCGTAGGTGGTATTTGCGCTCGCCTGCTGGTATATTACATCCAGCCCCTTTCGTTCATGGTGCAGGAGCAGGTGCAGCAGCATGAGCATCATCAGCACAGCAGCAACACCAGAGGCAGAAACACCGCCTCCACAACAAGCAGCAACACTGGCATACCCAGTGTTTCACGAGTACTACGAACACCTTCGTCGCCCAAAATGTCATCCTTGGGTGGACTGTCGACTAGAGTGAAAGGTCGCAAACCCTGCAGCAAAGTGGATCTCCGAAAGAGAGCTAGGCAGAGCTCTGCACCTTTGGTGGCAAGAGCTTGTGATCCGCATGGAATCTCCGAAGGCACAGACACCAAGCCATGACAGGCGTGCACAGACGACCCTGAGGGTGCAACACTAGCAAGGACGGTACCTTCAGCGTCAGACTCCTTACTACTGATAGGATCTGCTTTAGATGCACGTGAGTTCATAAGCAGCTGTCTCAAATATCGACTTGTCAAACATATTCTGCCTGTACCATGGCATTTCACAAGCTGTTCTTAGAATGGGAGTGGTTTGCTGGCCATTTCAATGCAGCTGCAGCTACCGGAGCTCCATAGTAAAGACTTCCCGGTCGAAAGCGGTGGGGCAAAGGCACCGCTGGAAAAAGGGAAGCCCACGGAAATCACCTCATCCCAGAGGTGGTGCCAACAAAAAACAGAAGACGTATTGCAGAAATGAACGTGCTGTGTTTCCAGTATGATCTGTTGACCCCCCTGCAGGCACGGTAGCAAGCAGCCCTGAAGCTTAGTGCGCTTCAGTGCTGAGTGCTGACTCACCGGCCCCAGTGCTTGATGCTTAGAGTCTGGACATCCAAATCCCTGCAGACGTTGGAAGCTCAATGCCTCGTAAGTACACGACCTGCGCAGTCAGACTGAATCAGAGTTGTCTTGTCGGGACGGCCGAGCTCGTGGGAGGCCGTCCATCTCCCGCCTGCGCATCGCTCGGGACTTCGAATTCAAGCGACGGATATCTGCAAAGACTTCCGACACACACACACACAGACACACCCAAGGACTCCTCAAGTGCCTGCAGGTACCGAAACGGAGCCTTTCAACTCATCGGGTCTCGATTTCACTGTGGCAGGGAGGCAGAAAGTCGGGGGCTGACTTTTCTCCGGTCGTGGACTATTGCGGGGTCTGTACACCGCAGGTGCCGTGCCGTTGGAGCATGTGCTCCCGAGCTACGAGCTATCGCCCTCTACCCGAAACCTTCCTGCAAGGCTGCGAGTCGCGCCAAGGCAGAAGCTCTTCCAGGCACGAAACGGCTCTGGCTCTGGGGGACGGCCCCCCGCTGAACTGCACGAATGTAGTCCGAGGCCTCGGTTTCTGTAGCTGGAGAACCAGGGGGGATTATGGTGAGGGATGGTGAGGGGGCCGCCCGGACGACTGAGAACAAGGAGCAGCCGAGTCGTCCATACTCACATCAAGAGGTCAGCTGGATCGACAACTTCTTGAGGGCTACCTGAGCCGCTTTGTGACGAATTGCTGGCTATCGTTGCGGTGAACCGGCACACTCGGACCGTATTGTGTCGCAGGAAAGTAGTCTGTACTGTTCAGCACTGAATCCACTTCTTCGAACTATGCTAGCTAGCTGCTACCAGTAGCTGCATGCACAGCAAAACTGAACTCCTCACAACACATTCAGCACATTGATTCAACACATCACCTCGAAGCTCGAGAGCAAGTCGTGTGAACATGCAGACGGCACAGTGATTAACCGTGTTGACCACCAAGTAGCTACCCGGTCTGGCATCTTCCCTTGGAGCTATTGCTGCGACCTGCCAACACATGCCGAAAATTAGAAGGACTTTCTGTCGTTCTGCATCCTGTCCTGTTCAGGTCCGAAAAAACTACTATCAACAAAAATTAAAGGCCACCAGTCGACAACCGTGGATTTGGCACTGGTACTGGCGTCCGCTCCAATCAAGCTTCTTTTGCGTTTCCCGGCCTTTCCGTCCAATCCTTCCGCAGTCAATGTCAAACCATCTCCAGTGCAACAGACCCTTCACCAAAGCCTCCATAGCTCTGAGAGTGTTTGTACGACTTACGCCACGTCTAGACTTGACCTGAAACACGGTCCGTACTGACAGCCAAGGCCACCCTCTCGGACCTTTAGGCCTTCAGTCTTTTTGAGACGGAAAGGTTGCGACACTATGTAATTCCTTCAACGTCTCTAGCGCGCCGGACTGCTGCTTATTTTGGTGTTGGCTCAGTTTGCTCCTATCTGTCATCCGTACAACAATATTTGGAAGGACTTGCAGGCTTAACGAAAATTGGTCCTGAAATCTGTCGGGAGATGAGAAATAGAGTTTTGTTTGTGGGCTTTGTTTTGAAATTGTCGGAGCCATTCGGACTGCTGCTGCTGTTGTATGATGTATGACAAAGAAAATGCTTTTGAGATCATTCGCAACTACCCTTCGATTTTCTGCACCCGGCAAAGCATTGATCTAGTCCTGTTGCTGTTTGTATGACGCATGCAAACATGTTTGCTTCAATCCAAGCACTCTCGCGCAGGAGAGTGCCTGCGCGTGCATGTGGGCGCATGTGCGTGCGAGCGAGCAGGCACGTGTGAGCGCCAGGCAAGCGATCTTATAGGTCGGTAAGCTGCTAGCAGCTCTGCATGCACAGCTGGATCGCTGAATAAGTGCACCGAAAGGCGTATAGCTTTTGTATATGTATGTATACACACACACATATATATATATATATACATATATATATATATATATGCATATGTTCTCTATGTATGCAACTGTTTTTTTGTTTCTCTCTCTCTGCCTCTCACTGACTCACCCCCACACACAATCAACCAATACGTGTATATACATACGTATAGATGTGTGTATGTTTATCTATGTATGTACTTACCTGTTTATTTGTATACAAGCGTGTTTTCTCTATCTCTCTCGCTCTCTCTGACACTCCCCCACAGAATCAACCAACATGTGTGTGTGTGTGTATATATATATATATATGTATACATACTTGTCGATTTATTCAATTCTTTCTCCACCAGTTGTTGGTTTATACATATATACATACACAACTAGATACACATACGCAGGTATTTGCACGTGTAGGTAGACGATCGCCTTATACAGGGGATATGAACTGCTACGTCCTTCCTACCTGACTAATGATGCTAGTGGCACGAGCCAGTTTTCAAGACCCTCACTGCACACACCCAGCATGAGCCCTGACAGCCTTCAGCTGCCGCACGACTCGAGCGACCTCCACAGAAAACACTGCCATGCAGTCTCAGAACTCTGTGCAAAACCTTCTTTACCGCTGCTGCACAGAAAACCACCGTGGTCCTATGCCAAACACCTCTGCGATGGGTACAGGCAACTTCAGGCAGGCGCACGGAATGGATGGGATGTCATGCAATCCCCCCACCTCGACCTGCAGAAATGTAAAAATCTGTTCTTTCCTTGGCTTCTGAAAAGTAGGTCTATGCAGTCACGATCTCTGCACACACCGAAGTGGCAACAAGGGAAGCGCGATGTGCAAGGGTCTGCGAGAGTATGTCATGCCGTTTACCCCCCCACAAACCATCACGGCGATTAAAAGCGCTTATATGCTCCTAAATACCAATAGCGTGCATCAATCTTTACCCAGTGTTTCCACAGCTTAAAATTGATTACAAACCGGATGAGTTTGACAGGCATCAAACTGATAGAATGGCAATACTTGCACCAGTTGCTCATTGTTGTAACAGGCTACAGGGTGTGCCAAGGGTCTGCAGCCCCGCAAGCGCTTCAGCATCGTGATTCTTCAGCGCTTCGACAAGGTCGCAGCCAACCTTCAGCCGGTGCTGCGAGCAAAATTAGCAGTTTAGGAAATGGCAAGGCACCATCAAGCACAGCAGTCCCTCATTCACGGCATTAGTTGGACACGCTGCTGGATCTCGCTCGACCCTACAGGCCCACGTAGACTGCTGCACCTGAATTCCGAACTCTATGAACACCTCAAACACACGCCAGAGTGGCCTGGCATTCCCGCGAGGTGAACCAGCCTCAGTGAGCATCATGTTGAAAGCAAATTAACCTGATCCGGGATCATCCCGTTTCGAGGGCTCACACAGCAGGATTCTATTCTAATGTGGGGCCGTGTTTTATTAGGTGACCCTCTGCGAGGCACTTCTTCCTGGGCTCCTTCAGGATTTAACACTCTTGGAACTCGGACGGATTGTTTCTGAGGAGTTTAATAGGCCCAGGGCCTAAGGCCCAAGGCTTGGATTTGGAGGGATTTGGAGCTTGTTCATTTAAAGGCCTGAGGCTTTGGTTTTGAGCTTTCGCTTGAACTGTCAGGCGGCTTAAAGTCCAACAAATCCGACCCGTCCACCCCCAAACCTCCTGCAAACTTGCTCCCCGCCAAACACAGTGCAACATTGAGATAAACTCGAAATCTCCCCATCTAATCTGGCAGATTCGGACGATGTCTCAGCTGTGCATCATTGGGATTGGTCGCTGCTGTTTGTGTCGTGCAGTAGAGCTGAGCCCGATGCTCTCTCCTAACTAAGGGGTCCTGCAGCGCTAGAACCCTTATGCAATGTCGATTCCTAGGCCTTCTGTTGTTGAAATCAGAACGACCGGGCTGAGCCGGCTGGGCTGTGCGGAGTGCATCGACAGAACAGTTACTTGGGTAGAAAAAGCTAAACAACACCAGAGATACTTGAGCCGCAGCAGGATGACCCACCAGAGAGACAAGTGCTCTTTTTCGCATGGGCGCTTGACATCCTCTACGTCGCATGTATAAACTCGGAGCTCCAAGCCCTCAAGATGTCTTCCGCCTTGGACAGTCAACCAATTCCACTGCCACGCTGGAGGCCGTGCCCAGAAGTTGCCGCCAGCTCTGGTACAACCAACCGAACCCTGCTATGGCGACCAGGACTCCATGAATGGACCAGTGATCTTCATGTAAGAGAATGCGCCCGGCTTTCGATGTGAGCGTCGTAAACTGCTTAAGCCTCAAGGCACAAGCTCTGGGCATGAACTTGGGCACATAAGTTATGGTGGCCTCAATCACCAGTTTCTCGCCCAGCTGACCGATTCCATCCACATGGAAATCAATCTCCCGAAAGAGCATTCGCAGAGACCGAAACTGGGCCTTCACGTGGGAAGTGCCCGAAACCAACACCAAAGGATCGCTGAACTTGCAAGACGACGCATACATGGAGTCCACCACGGCATCTGAGTCCACCTGCAGGTGGGCTTATCTTCTTCAAGACCCTGACAACGAAGCTTGGTTTGACAATTTGGGGGAAACCCCACGTAAAATCCATCCTTAAACTCAAAAACCTCAAGACCCTAACGTTCGCCTGGAGGTCATACAAAGAACAGGCTGCCTTTGCTAACTGCTGGTGCTCGTTGCCGAGCGTCGCCATGGCTTTTTGCTCGGCCATCGTGTAACAGGGAGTTAAGAGACAGGGGAAGGAAACGTGTATTTTCTTGCTTGCCTGCTCTGTTTAGACGCAAGTGCGGCAGAATCTAGTGTAGAGCATCTCTAGGAAGGCGCTGTGTACCTGTGCGTTTGGATGCAACGCAAAGGTACGGTTCTGATGTCCCAGCCTGTGCTAAGAAGTGTTGATTTGGGGTTGCTCAACATTGCCTTTAAAGTCGGACAGGGCCTCGAAGAACCTTGGGCCCCAAGCTGCAGGCATGTGTACTGGAGCATGTATGTTGGCATGATCTCGTCCGCGATTCGCTGAATGCTCACAGCACCTATGCAAGTGCCAAGCAAGCTAAACAAACTACAGAAAACACTCTTGCATTCACATGCCGCTAGAGCCAGCACCCAGACTGTGATTGCAAAATCAAAGCTGAGCCCATCGCCATCAACTTGACTCGCATTCAGGATTTCATCTGCTCTCACAGTGTCCTGCAAGGCTGGCAGGCTCATTCTAGCTTTACAGTCATTAGCAATTGATTCACAGTTCTACGCACACACGTCAGTCATTAGCAATAGATACTCGTCTAGATCTTTATTGATTCACAGTCCAACGCGCACACGTGACAAATGTGTGTTTGCTGATTTGGCTGCACGTGTGTACGCGCACACACCAGTATGCATGTAAACCTACCGATATCTAAACATACATAATATATATAATATAACATAACATAATCTATAATAGTATAATACATTATAATGTAACATCCTGTAATATGATTTCATATCAATTATTCATCTTTCAGTTCATGCGCATGTCTCTCTCTGTATATGAATGTGTACATGCACGTACACTGTTCACAAAATGGAGTAGAAATACAGGAAGACACCAGCACACATGAGTGCATATATATATATATATACACAGACATATATATATATATATGTATGCGGACCTGTCTGGATATGTGCACATGTTGATAGATAGGTAACAAGTCGATAAGTAGCATAGCTAGTTGGCTGATGAAATAGATAGACCGATAAGTAGACAAGTAGATAGATAGACAGACACATAGATGGATAGATAGATAAACGAAAGACAGGGTGGTAGGCAGGTAAGCAGGCAGGTAGGTCGGTAAGTAGGTAGCTCCATAGACCATAAATGTCGGGCTCCGGCTACTGATCTGTGTGTATTCTTGTGTGTATTCAATTATGTGCCTCGGCATTTGTTTGCATGAAAACCGATCTACAGACCAATCAGTTCAGTACGTAAAAGCATTCCTACCATCAGCGAAAACCAAATTGAATCACTCCGTAAATGTGTGCGGCTGCTTGCAAATCACACTGCTGAACATGCACTCAAACAAAAGCCCGCACAAACACATGAACACACACACGCACACACAGAGAGACAGAGAGACAAAGAGACAGACAGACAGACAGACAAACAGGCTGGCTGGCTGGCTGGCTGACAGACAGCCTACATACATACGTACATCAGTCCACAAGTACATACACACATAAATACATACATGCACATGCATGCATGCATGCATGCATGCATGCATACATACATACATACATACATACATGCATGCATGCATACGTGCACGCATACACACATGTATCCAAGCATCCATGCATTCATACATGCATGGGTAAATACATGCATGACTACATAACTTGTACATGCAGCATACATACACCCATCCAGCAATTCACAAATCCATTCGTTCGTCCATCTATCCATCCATCCATCCATCCATCCATCCATCCAAGCGACCCGATCATCCACCTACATGTTCATACGTTCTATGCATGTATGTACGTATGTATATAAGTACGCATGTACATATGAACGCATGTACGCGTATGTATGTAGGTATGTGGGTTTGTTGGTTTGCTTGTAACTGTATTCTGTAGGGTAACTGTATGTATGTATGTATGTATGTATGTATGTACGTATGTATGTATGTATGTATGTATGTATGTATGTATGTATGTATGTATGTATCGCGCGCGCGTGTGTCGTGTGGGTGTGTGTCTAATGTCTATGCGTGTATGCATGCGTGTATGAATGCATGCATGGACGCATTTGCACATGTAACTGCAGGTAAACATACATTCATGTATACAATGGTGTGGATGTAAGAGGCCGTCCCGATCTCTTTAAAACGAAGGCCTCCAGCTGCGCCAATAAGACGATCTTCGACAACAGCTCCTGAAATGCAGTTGTCCCGGCAAGATTGGCGTATGAAAGCCACTAGGCAGGATGCAAAGACTCAGCGACTGCAGCAGTCTCGCGCCTTGTGTGCAAAAGGGAGGCTTTTCTGTCTGCTGAGTACCTCTCAAACAATCGGACGAGCCAGCACAGAGCACAGAACGATCTTACCATGATGGAAGTTGGGAGGCAAAGCCCGCGAAATTAAGCGAATAAGTGCCGGTGAGTTGGAAAAGCGATTTCTGATAGAGTTCGTGCAAACAGGTCGGCAGAAGGGATACTCTGTCAAATCTCAATGGTACGCTTGTGCCGACATTCCAGACACAAGGGGCACCCCAATGTGGCCATCCATGGCCACCAGGGCATCCTGACGACAAGACGTGGAGCAGTGAGGCTTTGACACTTGCGTGAAAACGTACGCGGGTCGAGGGGTCCACTCAATGGCCCATCCATTCCCAAACGGCGAAGTATCGGCGCTTCGCAGACACCGAGCCGCGAGCCTCGAGTGCACCGGAGCGGATAAGGAAGCCGATGTACCTCCAAAGCTTCGCAGGAAGGCTCGCAAGCACAAGACACGACGCGGCCGCTCGTGGCGACTCTTGCAGACCCGGGCCCCCGGGCGTCTTGTACACATCTCCCAGCTCGTAGTCCTGCACGCGACTGGCGGAGCAGCATCTGACGTATCCCAGTCGTTGAGACCTTCGGCATGGACATCTCTCAAAACTTCGGCATTTTTCAGAAACCAAATCCCCAAAGATGGAAAGAAAAGAAGCAAGCAGGTTGAGATGCAAGCACTGGCAGAAGCAGTCTGTGCGCAGTCGCAGTGCTGAGAAGCCTTCTCCTCGTCCTCGTACAAGCCGAGGGCATCCTATCAAAGCCGCACTGTCAAGCACTCTCTCAACGCACTCATCTCTAAATCATTATCCCGACAATGCCTCATTACGAACTACAATACCGTGATGACACAGGACTTTTGTGGTGATGCGGACAATGATGGAGCAAGTAACGATGGTCAAATTGAGGGGAGGCGGCGGAGGGCCGTGACGTAGTGGTGATGATGAAGACAGATGCCTTGCATCCACAGCTTCCTAAAGACTATGAGCATAAGATGACGAAAGCATGTACGAAAGTCGCAGTTCGTGTGATCTACAATCTACAACCATCCCGTGGGCTGGAAACGCCATAGACTCTGCGAGAATGCTAGCATCAAGCGGCTCGGATGTTGAGGGCTTATGTGGCAGAGCTGTCCATCCACTTTCACAGGCAATGACTCCGAGAAGAACTCTGAGCTCATCTTGAAGGCTTGAAATCATCTGTAGCAGCAAGGGATAAGACAAAAGCAATTCGGAAACTCGGGGCAGCCTGGAAGGCGCTCTTCGCAGATTCGATGTCCCCTTGCCTGGGGCGACACACCCGAAAGGAGCGCAAGTGCTTGGGCCGTGCTTATAGCGTTGTGTGAGCTCAGCAGCAGGAACAGGTGACGTGATTGTGACGATAACACTCAAAGCACGAGTCGAGAGCCGTGGCCAACGAATCACCGGGGACCGAAAACCGAGAAACTCATTCACGTAGTAGCAGCCAGTATTATCCAGCTATGGGACTGTGCTACTCCGGAAGAGTCCAATGTGACAACACAAGGTAGAAGGTCTGGAGATATGCCACGATGTGCCTGATACTTGGACTGAGGGCAAGGCTTCTCCTTGATCCCAGCCATTTTGAGCAGGAGCTGGGCGAGATGTGGGCCAATTGCGCATCCGATCATGCTGTCTGCAAAGTGCCAGATGCATGAAAGCTACTGTCCAGCTTCATGCAGCGCAATCCAGAAAAAAAGGTTACAGCAGTATGTATGCTCTCCGACCTCTCACTGACGTGCAGCAACTCTAACCAGTCATGAATGCCTAGCCTTTGCAGCCACATCCGCTTTGCCCGCGATTCGGAAGCATTGCACGGCCTGTTCGAGGGATTTTGTCCGCTTTGCAGGCCCGTTACATGAGTGTCAGCACTATACTGTCCGCGAGACAGTACTGTAGCATGGACGACTTAGCCCGGTCGCCCGGACGTCGCCCCAGCCTTCTGCCAGTGCCTCATGGCCGCTGCTGCCCCATCGGGCCCACTTCCATCACAAATGCCACCGGCACTTTCGTACCTCCCAGGACTTGAAAAGGGCCTTCAGCCGATGCAAACTCTTGAGACCCCGTCGGCGCACGCTCTGCCGGCTCCGAAAAGATCATGCAGCTGCTCCTGTCCAATGCGTGCCCTTTCAAGCGTTGCCCTTGCGCCCTCCCATACGCTCACACTCCTTCATCTCACCCGACTTGGCCCAGGCATCGGCCTTGAAGGCGACTTCAGAGTGGGGGAGACTCGAAGGGGAGATAGCCGATGTCTATGGAGATCATGATTCTGACAAATTTTAGCCAACTAGGAATGATATCGATCCGAATGGTTCTTCAGTCTGGGCTCCTCGCAGATTCTTGCAGCATGTTGGCAGCCCTAAACTGGGTGGCCGCCTGCGCCGATTCGTGTAGGCTCAGGGAAAATTCCTGCAGACAGCCTGGCTACAATTCGTCAGGCCTGCGAGAACTCCATGGATGCCGAGAGATGGTCCGGACCTTACTGGCATGACTTCTCTAAAATCACGAAATGCCGGCCTGACACTACCCTGGACGAGTGGACGAGGCTGAGGGCTTCCGAGAAGCAGAGTCTCTCCCAGCCTTTGCACTTTGCACTCAACCTGAAAGCCGAAGCTACCCATTTCCCAGAATCAGGACGCCCCCCCCCCCCCCCCCAATCCAGGGAGCACGGTTAAGCACCCCGGACTCGTTGTCAAGCTCCCGGCTGAACTTCAAAGACATCCAGGACGGCTTCAGCGCCTTCAGAAAGAGTTTACGTCCAAGCTCCGCCGAAAGGTTATGGACCGCGTATCACAGCAATTGTCGAACACTTGTGCCACAGGTGTGTGTGGGAAGGACATACATATGTACCTGTAGACACACTACAAGTATGTATGTGTGAGTATATGTGTATGTGTCTAGTAAATGACTACTTATTCATTTATCTATCTATATATCTATCTCTGGATTGACGCGGATGCCGGGTCCCCCCCCCCCCCCCCCCGCCCTCTCCAACCCCCCACGCCACGCCAAGGTCAAGGAACCCCCTGCCCCACCCCCCCTATGGGAGCGGTGGGTGGGCTTGAATTTGGATTCGGGTTTGGGTTTGATAATCCCGTCACAGTTTGTTTGGGGCTTGACTTTGCTCATCTCCGTGGGTGTTATCCCACCCATCAGTGTCAGGACAAAACTTGGCAGTCTCCTTGTGTGTGAATGGGGATGGGTGTTTTTGAGTCCGCACGCATGTGGGGGTGTGCGTACACACACAGAGAATCGGTACCTGCTGCAGCACCGCCTGTCCGTCGCCTACCAAGGTATTATGGCAGCTATGAGACTCTATCTAGATACCTTACTTGCGTATACGCATGTGCATGAAACTCATTGGCACATCTACGATCATCTTTGTTGCTTTCATCTATTTCCGACCAGTCCATCTATGGGCACGTATGACCCTTCCTAGCCGAACCATTGCGTCCCATGCACAGCCTGCTCCGCCTTGGACATATGCTCTCGAGCTTTCGCGGCCTTGGTCCAGGGCTTGGCTTGGCAGAAAGGTGCCGGTGTACACCGCAGAGCATGTCTTCTCAGAGTCTCCCCGTGTCCTAGCGTCTTGCAAAATACGAAGAAGCGGCTGCAGGTTTTTGATCACGCCTGGTCTGCGCACGCACGACCCTGGTATGGTCTGAGCTTTGAAGCTGCGATCTCCCCGCACCCCCAGCGCCACATGCATGAATGCAATGCTCTTCCTTGAGCAGCAAGTGGCTTGGGGCCAGGAGTCGTGCGGAAAATCTTCAGCGATCCACGTCGTGGGACCTCCGAAGCTCTAGGGATCGATCTCTTCGATCTCAAATCTCTCGGTTTGAGTCTGAGTTCCGATAACTCGGAGCTTCAGACGCATCAAGCGATCGCCGGCATCTCGGCCGGCACTATGGGAGGGAAGGATTCTGTCCGGCCGTGGAAATCACGGAGCTCGTGCACGTTGGTGAGCATCTCATCCGATTCACCCAGATCGTCGCTCTTCCTAGTCTGACGTGTCGAACATGCACCCCACAGGAACAAGACAAGCTGAAACAGCTGTACAAAATCACAAAGATGCTGCTGGCAGATTCAGTAGCCAATTCAGCTGAGCTCTCGATATGGCAGCCAAGGCTCTTCCCATCCGCCGTGGTGCCAAGGACCCGAACGCTTAGCTTCCGCCTCGATGGGGCACCCTTTGCAAGGTACTCCTCGCAGGCAAGATAAGGATGGGTTCTGAATTCTTTTGCACCTTGACGAAGATACATACTCTTGCATATGTTATGTATAGGCAACAAAGCCCGCGAGAAGTTTTTTCTGCCAAGATCAGTTCTGCGGTATGGGGGCAGGATGCCGGCGACGGGGAGAAAGGCGGGAGGGAGAGAAGGTTAACAAGCGCCCGAAAGGCCCAAAGCGGCCTGGAAGAAGGCGGCCACATCTTCCTTCTTCACTGACTTCAGGGCCTCCGTGGACTCGAGGATGCGTTGGAACCTGGAGCTTCAGCTTGGTGGTGGTGGTTGTAGACGTCGCAGGGGCGGTGCTGAACCGGAAGAAGTTGCAGCATGTATTTATGCGAGGTTTTGGGGTGGAGCTGGTGGACAAGAAGAGCAACAACACCAATCACAGCAAAAACCACATCGAAAGTTAACTCGTCCTGATTGCTGGACTTGCTCGACACGGCCCCAATTCAACACGACCTACATCGCGACACATCCAACGATGCATCCAGCTTCCTTCAGGCACTGACACGCACTTGCACGCTGTCCAGAGGAGGACCACTGGCAACCGTGATAAACCCCTGCAAACCTCCCGTTGAGTACCATCAACCCCATTTCGGATCGCTATCTGGTTGACTCCCTGGGCTGCGAGTGAACTGAATGCATGTGCATAAATGCAAGGCAAGCAGCTGATACCGCCGCGGCAAAATCTCTGCCCAGTGCCGAGTAGCCTACAAGCAAAGAGAACACAGCACACAACAAGCTCGCAATACAAGCTGGAAGCTAGGCCATCAACCTGGACCCCAGCTCCGAAACCTTGTTCCCTCCAGCGCGGCACCATAAGCAAAGCTGAAACACCGAGTCATCAGGACCACAAGGACTACTACCACCATTCTGATTTGTTGTTGCCAAGCCCTTGCACTCCCTTCACTACCGCTGCAACTACTATTACTACTACTACTACTACTACTACTACTACTGCTGCTACTACTACTACTACTACTACTACTACTACCACTACTACTGCCGGAACCGCAAACGCGCTGCCACTACCAATACCGACAGCACTACGACTACGACTCCAGCTCCGGATCCGACTCCCTTCTCCTGCTGCGATGCTGCTCGGACCACTGTACCCCTGCTCCTTATCCTGCTACTGCCTCAGCTACTTACTCGAGACAGGTACGTGCAAGCCAGCCAGAAACGCTGCTGGGAACTCAGCAAACAAAGCAGCATGGGCCCCAAGTAGGAACCACATCGTCTTCCCGGCCTCCTGCAGAAGGCGGGAGTATCGCTGAGTCCTCTCGTTGACCAGTGCCTGCAAGCGAGGCTCTCGGCATCAGATTGCCACTGATCCTGGTCCGGTTGTCGGACTCGCTGTGAGTATTAACATTGGGCACTGCAGGCCCTTAAGCAGGTGCGACGCATCCTCGAGTCCTAGACGAATTGCAACTCCCAAAACGGGCACGCTTGGCCTCCACGTTGTTTTGGAAGTCCTCGTCTGTCATGGCCTGCAAGCTTCGGACCGGCTAGCGTGAAAAGACTCAGACTCAGGTGGATCCCATTCCCTCCTCTCCGAAGCCACCCCCTCCCCAGGTTCCTCGAGCTCCTGGCCGAAGTCCTCGAGCCAGGTTTCAATGCGCTCGTCCACTTTCTGGGGATGCTCGCGGGGGCCCTGAACCTGAGCTTCCAGGCACTTGCAGATGAAGACACCTACGCCCAGCAAAGGTGCAGTTCAGAGCTCTGAAGATGTGTGACTGTGAGTTATGTAGGGAAGTCTCGCATGTCGGTGTTGAGACTGAGACAAGACATGTATGAAGAGAAAGCCATGATGCCGGTACCGTACCAGTCCATGCCCTGTGCGAGAGGCACTAAGTGTTGTCTACAGCACCAGCGGACGCAGATCTAGGGGGCCTGGACATCATTGAGGTCACGCACCGGCCAACCGAGGTCGTGTATGCTACTTGCTGGAAGCGTGTTCTGAGAGCCTCCTACAGTACACAGCGATGTTTTGATGTGCGTGTGTGTGTGTGTGTGTGTGTGTTGAAAACTCCGAAGTTAAGTGGCACTGGCACTCTCCAAGTTCTGAATTCATGTACATGCGGCCCTCTGTAAGGGTGTACCTGTCCAATTTTCTCCACATTATCTACAGACGAGTCTAATGTGAGAACGACGAGCAGCATGGCAACAATGGGGCACCGTCTGTTCGTGTTTGGTGCACAGCAGGCTGCGACTACAACATCGTGCCAGCTGCGGCTCAAGCAATGTGTGCGATGTGTAAGTTTCAACTTCAACCAATCAGCAAGTCGTCAAATGTCGTCAACTCGTGCTCCGGTTTGGACACCTGTATTGATCGAACGATAAGCTCCAGATACAGGTCTGCACCAGGATTGAACACGTCCTGAACCAGCTGCCCCGGCCCTTGTCAATGCACCCAGCTTCAGTATCTAAGACATAGAATCGATGAAGACCTTTAGCGTCTCCTATGCGGACGAAGCCGCCAGCACTGAAAATCCGCAGATGTGCTCGTTCACCCACGGAAAAGCTTGCACAATGTACCTGAGTGAGGCCAAGCATGCAAACGAAGGCCTGGGACTCAGTTCGACTCAAAGCAGGGAGGTACTTGCCACAGAATGTCCTCTAGGCAAACCATGCCTGTTGGTCGTAGACTCACAAATAACTCTCTCTCTTCTTCCACAGACTCCGCACTCAGCAACATATAGCCGGCGCACCCCAGCTGCAGCTCCGTGCGCAGCCTCTGGAATGCCGAGACGTGGGCTATCCGGCAGGCAAGGGATACGCAGGCGTCGCGGCTCAAGTCCTCGTTGGTTGGACCCACCTGGAAGACTCGTCAGATGGAGATTCAACTTTCAATGTGAATTCTGTAGTGTCGGAAGACCTACATTTCATTCCATAGCAAAGGTTGCGCTTTCTCTCGGAGGAAATAACCTTGAACTCATGGGCGGCAATCTGCGAATCGAGACAACTCCCAAACCAACTTGCCCGGTGGAGGGGCAGTGGCTGTGACACATTACTGTGTGAATAGTAAATCGATCCGCAAATGAATCAAACAAGTCATGAAACTCATTCACTGCTTAAAGTTTGTTCATGAATATAGTTGAATAGACAAACACGTTAAGACATGCACGAGGCCGATTTGACGTACCATGATCCGTTAACCAACTGCAGAGGTCGTTTGCGCGTCCAGCTGCACAGCCTATCTTCTTCCCTCTGCCGGAAGGCTGGAGCACTGCATGGCTGGAGGATGCAGATTTGATTTTGGTTCTGCTACTACCTCCGCGTCTTCGAATGCCTCAAACGTTTCCACCACCCTCAGGTACGCACATACGTGCGTGGCTGCAACACAGGTTTTGGGATCTGCTCCAAGAGCAGCGCTTAACTGCGGGGCACTTTGTGCTTAGTATTGCAGAAGGACCTCTCTCGAGCCGGACCTCTAACTAAGCAGCACCTGGTAGACGACCTGCGTGCTGCAATTCTCCTGCGCAGGGTTGAGGGCAGCAAGGTCGTACTCGAAGACGGTGGTAGAATTCAGAGGCAGCTGCGTGATCTCCTGCGCGGCGGGAGATGCAATGTCGCCAGCTTGCAAACAGAAACCGCATCAGACTGCATGGCAGAGCATGGAAAATTGGTCTGGTCGCTTGGCCTAAGCACGCGTGTCGTCTTAGGTCGAGTACTGCCCACATGCCAATAGTCCACCAGATGATCATAGACACGCGTCGAAGGTGTCAAGATGGGGAAGGCTTGGATGGGTACAGCGAGCTGGCTTAGGCTCAGCAGGCACCCGCTCAAGAGTGCATTGTGTGTGTGTGTGTGTGCGTGCCAGAAGTCCCGAGAGATCCTTTTTTGAAAACTGAACTTCTGAGTTGCAAGTATGCACAAGATGGTCCGATACCCCTGGCCTTCTTCCTCAGCTCCTTTAGAGGCTCGGCGCCCAAGCGCTTTAGCGAGGCGCAAACCGTGTCCTCGGTAAGTTTAGCTGACCCTGAAAGCCTGAAAGAGTGCTCGGCATGCAAATGGTATTGCGGGGAGTTGAATGCATCTAGAAAAGTCCTACCATGCATATACTGCAGATCTGCATACCACGATCTCGAACATTCCAGACGTCTGACCGAAACCGGCGACACAGTTCGCAAAATCGGCTTACAAGTCTCAACTCAGGCATCGAATTCGACAGTCCTGGCACTTTCCGTCGAGAAGTGGAGACATGTGTGTCTCCTTTTTTGTGGACACTTGTGATCTTGTCCGAAAGGTTGGTCGGTGGAAAACATCTGAAAACGTTCACACATGTCCAGCCCACCGGTTGGATGTCTGGTGGGGCTTCCTTTAATGTGGTCCTGGCCAGACAATTCAAATCAACACTGGTCTGACCATTGATGAACGCCGGGTGGCAGCTACACTCTTGGCCTCTTCCGCCGTCGCATTGCCGTGCACGAGCATGTCCACCTAACAGCACGTCGTGCGCTTTAGATCTTGATCACTCATCTCCCAAGTCCCAATGTCTGCGTGCAGTCGGCGCAAAACCACATCCGTTGCGATTGAAGGCAAAATCAAACTAAGGCGATCTGCCCAAGAAGAGGGACCTGCCTGGACATGACTGAAGGCCGTGCGGACGGCTGCTGCAGTTGCGGCGAGATCCGGTCCTCTTTCCAACACCTCGCCACTGAAACCGACATGGAGTGCGGTTTTGCCGGTTCTCATGAGACTCTCATGTCAGGGTGCTGCCGCCCCACCTCGATGTACTCTGACAGATGCCAAGACTTGCGCAGCATCAGCTGCGACAGGTAGTAGTTGCCAACAGACCAAGGGTCCTCAGCACAGTTAGGCGGGTGCAGTGCGGCTGCACAGAACATGATGCAGACCGATCTTTTCTGCGTGCCTCGCGAGTGAAGTTCTTGTAGTCTTGGAGAAGGATCTGCCGCTGAACCTCCAGCTTTTCCAGCAGCTCCTGCTTCGGCTACTGAGTGGCACTTTCCGAGCTCCGTTTCATGCAGCTCTATCACGAAACAGCGAACTGTTTCACTGGATCCCCGTTTCAAGGAGGTTGAACTTGCTGGAAGAGGGGCTCCTCATGCCGCTCATGCTTATACACCCCCTAAACCCAACCCTAAATCCCAAATAGCCCTGACCCCGACACACCCTGGCACTTCAGAGCCCCCCATCCTTGTCAAAGCCGCGGGGCTCTGGAGCCTCACACCCCTATGTTTTACGCCCCAACGCCAAACACCGGAGCCTAACTCCCATCACTATAATTATGCCGCTGCCTTCTGGGGAAAACTAGAGGATTGTATTTGCTCTTGCTAGTTCCTGCCACTACATTGCTATGATTACTAGTACTATCACCATGTTGTTACACTGCTCCTACTTTGTGTTGAAAAACGACTATGTCGAGTTTTTCTATCCGAGCAACAGCCATTAACTGATAGTAGGAGGGCCTGGGACGACCCAAACTGCAGAACTTCCCAAAAGCTCAACCTGCGCCAACAAAATCCAAACTCCAACCCTGCTCCCAAAAGAACCTTTACCCCCCCCCCCCTAAATCCCTCAAGTCCTGAACCCTAGGAACCCCAAAGCCAGGGCTCAAAGCCCCGTACCCCCCATAATACCCTATACAACTCTCATATCAAAACCCTGTGAACCCCCTATGAATCCTCAAAAGAATGATGCTAGTACCTCTCGCTCCTGGCCCCGGTCCCCAAGAGCGGCGAGCAGCTCCTCCTCGCTGCTTGCGCCCTTCACGGCCTCTGAGCTTCATCCCAAGGCTTCGGATCATGGGTTCCCTTACCTCTGATTGCTTCTGTCAGAAGGGCTTTAGGGCTTTGGGCTCCAGATGTTCGTAGCTCACTAGGGGTTTAGGGCCTCTCCTAGAAGGTTTGGCTGAGTGGAGATAGTTTGGCTCAGTGCGCTTGAGGTTTCATTAGACAGGGTTTTTCGCTGATGACATCTGCGGTTTTCTTCGAGGGCAGCCTCAGCGATAGTCTCGATCTCTTCCAGAAGTGTGGCAATGCGCCCCACGACGACCTCGCCACAAAGCAGTTCCGCTACCGAAGCTGTAGAGGTTCCTGCTTAAGTTTAAGTGAGCAGTGAGCTGGGATGAGCTTAAGTAGGACCAGCCATGGGCTGAGTTGGAACAGTTGGCCTTCAAGAGGTCCGGCAGTTTGTCGTTGAAGCCACCGATTGACATCGTCAAGTTGTCCTTGCATGGGGAGCCGTGAAGCAAGAGGCATGGAGCGTCATGGATGCAGATATGTATGCAGGGAGTCATGCAAAAAGAGGACTTCTGGTGAATGAGCCCCAATCCGTCCAGGAACGCGTTTACTGGAGTACATGCCACGGCTCTGCAAACTCCAAGTTGTAGCCCAGGCCGGCCACGCTTGCATCGTAGGAGAAAGTGTTCAGGTCATCGCTGACCACGCTACAAAACCTGGACCAGCTGCAAAAGGCCGGGGGGAATTTGAACGCTGTTGAGGCAAAGTGCTTCAGTGCTGTGCCGGACCCTACTTACTACGGTCCCGACGCCACGGAGGCACGGTCTTGCTGTATATATTGTATATTGATGCTAACTCACGTACAGACATGCAATATTAGTCCTTTGTTTCTTGGTTTACACTTACCCGGCAGGCAGCAGTCTCATCATCGTCACGACCTCCGGACCGGCATCGTAGGCAGCGGTGTGCACGTGCGCCAGAACATACTCTCGAGGCGTCTTGAACGCCTTGTCCACCTGAAAACTGCTGCTTCCAGCACCGTGCAATTCTTTACGGGATGGATTCAGGCCACGCAAGCTTGCAGCTGCTCTCCGCGCCTTGTGCCATAGCCGGAGCATGCCGCTATCTATCAGCGGGTTCGGGGGCAGGACCTCCATGGGAAGCTTTGTGACCTCTGCACCCTCGCCGTCCGAAGCACGCAGGGAGAAGTCGGTTGGGATGAAGCCTCGGGCCCGGAACGCTGGAAGTCTGGCCCTCTACCATCCTTTCAACTTCACTGTCTGTCTTCTGTCAAATGTTCTCTGTGCCTGTTCGCGCCAGGAGGCGGTTGGGTTCGGGAAGTTTCAGACCCGAGGGCTGGCCCTGGAGAGCCACTTCCAGCTTCTCCCGCCACTGATCCAAGTGATCCTTGTCCAGGGGCTCCAACTTGTAGTAGGCCTATTCGTCGATACGCAAATGAGATGCAACTCTTGCCGAAAAGTCATGGGCAAGACTTCGTCAATGTGGAAGTGGTCCCTAGTTCTGTTGGATCGACACCATGGCATATCATTTTCTATCCATGGCTTCCCGTGCGATGTTAGCATGAGTGCTGTGACCTGGCAACGTAGACACCATTATTCTCCGCCTCTACGCAAGCACATGCTCACGTGATCTCACGTGTATGTAGACAAGCAATCGGGTTTTTCGCCAGCGTCGAGAGGCCTTGTACCACTCCTCCGGCTTCCAGCCCTGCACGGACAACCGATGCGGAATTCTGCTGCCAGGAGTTCAAGGTGTTTGTAGATATGGCAAGTCTAAGTACAGAAATACATGTGCCTACCTGTCGATCTATCTCATTGCCTATAGCTACAGCAGTCAATCATGACAATCGGTCAATCCATCCACCCATCCATCAATCAGTCAATCAATATCTATCCATGCATCCATGCATCCGTCCATCCAGCCATCTATCCATCCGTCCGTCCATCCATCCATGCACGCCCATTCATCCACATGCCTACCAATCTATCTATTATCTCTAGCCATCTGTCTACCTATCTACCTACCTATCTACTTATCTACCTACTTTTCACTCTGAACACCTGTCTATCCGTCTGAATCAAGTATCTTTCTGTACATAGATCTGCCTACCCTGTACAGAAAGATCTGCCTACCCACCTACCTACCTACCTACCTACCTACCTACCTACCTACCTACCTACCTACCTATCGATATATCGATCGATCGTTCTATCTATCCTCTATCTATCTGTAAACCTCTATATCTATTCGCCTGTCCGTGTCTCTCTCTCTCTCTGTGTTCTATGTGCGTTTGTGTTTTCCGGCTCTTCACATTCAGACTGTAAAGATATATGTTACATGGTTGTCAATGTAGGGTGTCTACTCTGCGCCTGATCACTGGCACTCTCGGCTGTGCTCTCTTCTCTGAAGCCGTCGCTGGTGACCATGATGAGGCAGTTCGTCGGAGTGAGGGTTGACCTTAAGTGCTCATCTCCATCAAACCCTCATGGGAGTGGGGTTGCCGATGGTTGAGGAAGAGGAGCTGGGAGCTCTGTCAAAACAAGCAAGAGGATCCTCTTGGACGTGGACGGCAACCACTGCACGGTGTCAGCCTCTCCAACACTTCTTTACAGAAAAACGCTTGGGCCTCAAAATTTCGTCCCAGTGACAAATACTCGGCAACGACGTCCGATCGCCACTCATCCAGAGCAAACGGTCCTCGCAGCACTTCATTTGCAGGGTACCTGCACGGGCAGAATGGCACAGCGATGCAAGATCTAGCTAGCAGCTATCTTGGGATGCAGAGGCCACGTGAGCCATCAGCCGGGTTCCCAGAGGTTGTTGCAGTTCTCGGTGGTGACAAACCTACACCCTTTGAACCAGCATAAGCCACTCGGCCTTGGTGAAACTTGCCTAGACGCGCTAGGTGACTGCAAGAACGAAATCAACGAATCCTCGACCTGAAAGTATGGCTTCGATGGGACCCTGGAGCAGTGGGGCCTGTCATTCGTCGAGAACAGTAGCAACTCAGTGATCCTCGTCAGAACTAGCAATCAATCGAACGGTACCCACCTATGTATGAGAACTGCCAAGAAGACAGCAATCATTGCTACAACCCTGCTGCCTGTGCAGGGCCATGGCTGCAGAGGCCGCAAAGTCATCTGGCAGCGGGGAGTCCTGCAAGGTGATTTTGGCGTTTGAATCCGTGCTTCACGTCGGACTTTGGTGCTTAAGCTGAAGGGTGCGCAATGCCACTTAGAGGGGCACTGACCTGCTCCAGATACAGGATCCTTACGTAGCCGGTGGTCGTCCTCCTTGTGAGCGAAGCCGATCTCTTGAAGAGAGGCGAGCTCCTTGAAAATCTCCTTCCGAGAAGCTTGCTACACCGCCAGACTGCAGAACTCGATGCAGTCCCGACGGTCCTCCTTCGGCCCGGCTGATCGGATGGTCTCGACGTACCTCTTGGCAAGCACTGCCCAACAACACTGACACGGTGCAGGAAACCGCCGTGTCGTGCCAGAAAGCATACCAGGAGAGAGAATGCAGCATTCAACTGTGTACCACGAGCACTCGAACAGCAAAGCCAGGACCTCCTCCCGGTGCGCGTCGCCCTCATTGGAAGGCTTGCTTGGACGACGCGATGAGACGACGAAAACGGCAGTGGTCTGCGGACTAAGGTGAAGCCGAAGCCTACACTGGAGAGACGATGGCGGCAATAATTCTATCAGTTGCGGAGTTGCAGAGCAAGAAGGAAAGCGTGACGAGCTCCAACGATGATGACGATGATGCTTATGAAGGTGATAACACTGGGATAATCGATGACGTTGGCCAAGATTTAGATGGCGATGCTGGCGACGGATGGCGCGAAGATGCTGATGCTGATAACGGCAAACGATTATGATGAGGCGATTGGCTTATATGGTGATGAGACAGTGTAACAACGAGATAAGCCCGTACATCGTCGACCAGAATGACGATGCTGGGCTGGAGCAGATGCATGAGGTTGCAAGTTGCCTGAGGGTCTACGTTCCCTAACGTTTGCCCGAGGGGGTGCAGAACCCACGCCCCCGCCTCCCGCCCCCCTGCATCGTGCCCAAACCCGAGCGGAAGAGTTGCCTCAGGAGTCAGCGTGATGTTGATGGCAAAAAGCTGCTCATCGGTGAACCTGGGCTAAACTCAAGCATGGTACCTGCAGATTCGTGGCATTGCAGATGTGATCCACTAATTATTCGACTAGCCTGACGAGCTACAAGGTATCGTCTAGTTCTCTCGCACGGATACTTTCTGGGCAGACCTCCATATGCACTGCCTGCCTTGCCTGAAAAGCTTTTTCAGCATGCCGGTCAGGCGGCGAATGGGCGGTGCCGGAAGACAGCTGGTCGACCCAGCCGAACCTTAGGTAATCCAGGCCTGATCAGGCCTGCATGCTGAACACCTCTGCTGGCCCCAAAATGTCGCAAAGAACTCGTTGATTCGGATCGCTCCTACTGAGCTTGGTGTAACAGAACATCAAACCACCGTGTTGGCCGAGCCGGGGCGAAATTCAAAAAGTCTTAATGCAGCCCGCGGCATCCCAGAACCTCGTTGAAGACTTCTCTGTTTACTAATTTGACGGCTCCACTCAGGCTTTACTTCGCCAGAACCTTCTGCACCAAGCTCAGAAAAGCCCAGATGCTGGTTGAGGGCATCGTGAAGCGAGCCGGCACCCTCGTGGCCAAGGAGGTGCGCCAAGTAGAGCTCCGGTTTTGCAAACCTGAGCCAACAACCAGTCGGTGACTGCACAAATCACAAATAACGGAGTCTTACTCTAACTGATGATAATCGCAGCCAGACTGAAAGAGAGATAGTGCGATGCTCACGGCGACATTTTCGTGTGGTAGCTTGGTCTGCAGGGCTAGGCACTCGTCCAAGCTGTGCTTTTCATGGTCCAAACTGGGCTTTTTTGGGAAGTATCGGGCAGTCGGGGGGACGGTGGAGCCCAGGCGCAGGTACTTCTGCACGGGTGGAAGTGGCCAGCAAGCCGAGATCGACCGAGAGTCCTAGAGGAAACCACGCTGAGAACTCTAGGTTTGAAGTCCATCTCGTGCCCGAGGCTCTTGAACAACATTCATACCAGTACGTTGACCAGCTCTTGAGACCGTGGTAGCCTCAACGCATTTGGCTTTAGGGAGTGCGCCACATAAAGCACACATTCAACACCAAACCTACAGGCCTCTGAAAACCCAAGGCCCGTGAAATCCAGCAACCCCAATAAGGCTTGCAGCTTCAGATGCAGGGCTTAGAGTTGGTCCTTCAACGGCACGCACTTCACGACGCGACCCACCTGATGGCAGAGCTGAGGCTCACAGGCTCGCAAAGGCTTCGGGGGCTGACACAGCGGCTGGTGGTTGGAGTGTTTCTTCAACGACTTGTCCTGGCTTGCTAAAATATCAAACACACACGTACATTTGCATACCTATAAATTACGTACCATAGAACCCTGTACGCAGATATATGTGTATATATATATATATATATGCGTTATGTGTGTGTGTGTGTAAACGCCTGTACATGGCGACAGCTGTGCGAGACCAATTTTGGCGCAGGGGGCCCCAGGTCTTTTACTCATGCTGGGACCAGACGTGTCAACGTACCTGCTAAGAGAAGTACCTTGGTGGCTGAGTCCGCAGCTGGTATCCTCAATGGGACAGAACCCATATCCCTGTAACGTGTTACATGTTGTTGTCAGCATTGCACTTCGCAGACAGCAGCATATGCCATTCCTGGTGTTTCGCACGACGATGACGCGGAGGGACGGGACCCGAATCTCTCAACACATTCCAGTCCTTGGGTCTGGCATGCGGGACCGAAAACCATCCCTGTCCAGAAACCCCGCCCATGACGACGACTTCCTGTCAGTTGTTCGACGCAGTCGTCCGTGCCGTGCCAAAGTGTGTTCGTGTAATTATCTTTTTAACTTAATGTAATATATTGTAATCTGGTTTAGTGAATACAGACTTTTCGTCGGGAGATATGGGAACGGGACGAGGCGGACCGCTAGACAAACTCTGGAACTAATGCAGCCTGTTGACTCTTTGTACTTCTTGGCGAACTCTCCTAGAGCATCAAGCCTTGTAAACCCTGAACCCCCAAAACAGCTGAAGCTCGTGTTCTCGACCACACCACGAAATCCAGCCTGGCTTGACGGCCAGGGCTTGACCGGATAGACCATCTCTCGGCCGCTGCCCGAGGGAACGCTGCGGAACTTCTCGGTTGCCAACTCCCTTGCGATGCTGAATGCTGTAGGTTTCGCAGAGAAATGACTGTTTCAAGCTGGGCTCTTAAGGCAGGTCCAGGTCCTGCGGTCGAGGCCTGGGTTTATGCTAGGGCTTTATTAAGTTTATTGGTCTGTGTATTAGAATGCTCTAGCATCTGCCGTGTAGCGTGTAAATCTCCCTGAAGAGCTGGCACAACCCGATTATGGTAGCAACTCCACGAAAGCTCGACAAGTGCTCAAACAAGTGGTCAAGTTACAGTTGCGTACACGTGCCTAACTTCATGCTTGGAATCGCTGGCAGACCACAAGCACTCTTTGTTGTTCGTCAAATGAATAAAATCAGGGGCGGGTGGCTGCAGTGTATCCAAGCTGTCACTTCCCACGACAACAAGCTTCATAGCACCTGAGTTTCAGCAGGCTCACAGCAGCAGAGCACAGAATGAGCTCGCGAATTCAGGTACCCCACCTATTCACATGCTTCAAGCAAATCTCAAAGTGCCCAAGGCTTCAGCCAGGACATGCCAGGACGGAGCCTGGTTCGGTTCAGTAGGGAACTGTACAAAGTGCTTGCCAAAGGTCCGGCTTGGTAGTGAGTCTTGTTCCACTCCACCAATTGCTTCCGAGTGTGGTCCAAGTCGTTCGATCCCAGTGTGTCCAGATTGCCCACGTCAAAGCCTGTAGATTCAGCCAACAGGCAAAGGGACGTCAGTGCTGTCAGCGGTCTTCTTCAATAAACCGAGCCCGACGAGCATCGAGGTGTCACATCGTGCTTCGGCCTACACAAACCGGAGTCACCTGGAATGTTTGCTGGGTGTGATTCCGATAGCCGGCTGAAGCCGTTCCGGACTCGCAGCCATCAAGGCCGATTCAAAAAAACCCTGGACAACTTGTTGCAAGATACGAGTACTGGCTCCGATAGGCGGTGGGTTCACGACCATCCACCACTAAAAACCCGGTTTCACGGGCGACCGCTGGTAGGGTAAAGCACAAAGCTGAGTGCAGCAAAAGTCACTGAAGAAGGGATGCTCCGGGGCGGCGGTGGCCTTTAAAACCTGCGAGCTTTCTCCATGCAACCCGCAGACCCAAGATTGGAGCCTGGAGTTCTGGAGGCCACGGGCCACACGACTTGCTAGAGAGGCGTACAGCCCAGAGGACATTGAGTCTCTGGAGAGCTGCACAAGGTCTCTTAGTCTTAAAGTCTGCTCGAAGCCTTTGGAGCTAAGCCGCCTGGAGAAGTCGCCAACCGTCCTCGGTGGAGTAGTTGGTGCTCTCGGAGTCCACCGCCTGCGGCCGGGGCAACACAAGCTACTGCAGATTCTGTGGGACTTGGTGCATGCATCCCTCCAATCATCCCGGCCCCGGACCCTGAATCCCAAAACCCAAACCCGGAAACAGACCCCGAGACCTAAATCTGCAGCAGCGCCTTCATCTCCCTCTCAATGCCGGATGGGTCGAAGGTCGGGCTGATGAAAAACTGGGCGAAGCGATCCAAGGCTTCGTCCAAGAAGGGCGAAGCTACCTCGTCATGACAAGGACGGATAGGGTCTGATTTGGGATGCATACCATAGCTGGTTGCATGGTACATAGTCATGAGAATTGGACGCACTCGTCACGGCCTCAGTCTGCCTATCCCGCTGCCTCTCATCGAAAACGGTTGACTCATCGACGAAGACTTGACTAGACTTAGACTCCACATTCTGACCCACGGCGCCTTGAAGTAGTACGTAGTGTACTCGGACATGGTGAAGGCATTGCTGTCACCGCCATGCTCACTAAGATACTTGCTGTACTCGTCTTCCTTGGGGAACTTTTCCGTGCCCAGGAACAGCATATGCTCGTGGAAGTGGGCCAATCCAAGTCGGTCTTTGGGATCCTGGAAAGTGCCGCACTCCACTGTCAACGCAGCTGCCGACGTGCTTGCGCTGGGGTCTGATGCCAACAATACTTGGAGCCCGTTATCCAGCTGCAACACTCGGTACGAGCGCGGATCCCCTGGTGGGGTGCGGATTTCCGGACCCTCTGCCAAAACCTTGGTAGCCAAGGTCTCGGTAGCCAAAGCCCGGCAGAGAGGCGCCCGGAGGCCTAGAGCCCCTGATCGACGGAGCCAGGGCCCAGAGCCGGTCTTCGAGAAATGCCGGGCACGCGCCCCAGCAAGGAGGCCACCGAGACCCAGAGAGATCGACGCCAAAGGAATCGAGTCCGCCTCTGGAGAGTTTGCTGCGGAAGGTTCCGGATATTTCCACATGAGCATAGTATATACGTGAGTGGATGCATGGAAGTACATGTACACACATGTGTATATAAATATACATATGCATATATATATATATATAGATATATATATATATATGCATGCATATGTGCATGCATGAGCATATGTATGTGTACACACATACACATGTATATAGATATATATATATATACATATATATACATATATATATATATACACATGTATATGTACATTCAAAAATATACTGACATACATATACATATATACATATACATCTACATCTACATATATATATATATACATATGCATACATGTCCGACCACAACGAGGTACTTCACTCCTGGTGTCCTCACGCAACCGAGGTCCGTCGTCCGCAATACAGTCTGAAAGCGCAAGGCATTCATAAATCAATACTCACAGTTGCTTAGCATACATACCTACCAAGAACTGGACCCCCTGCACAAATCTATGGTAAATGCATACGCTGTGTTGAACTGAGGATCAACGTGCAGTAGCCTTTCCGCTTTACAGACTCAAAAGCGAAACGTCCGCAGGCTATCGCTGGATCTGTGTGTATACATATTGTACGTGCATCTGCACAATAAGTATGCATGCATGCATGCAAGCATGTGTGTGTAGCTGGCTTATTTCGCGAGCGTTGGGCCTTAACTTTAGATTGGTCAGCAAAAGTTTTCAGGACCGGGTTCCTCTGGATTCTAGTGTTGGCCCAGTAGGCCCCGCACAGGGTCAACCCTAATACAATACAAGGGCTTGTACGTTCCAAGTTCCAATCACGACATGCTGCAACAGCAAACACCCTGACCAAACACATCGCCTGGCTCTGCTGGCCCACACTGCTGCGGTGTCTGAGCCAAGCATCCTCGTCGAGACTATTTGCATCTAGGGTTCTCACATCGGGGCTAACGCAAGGGTCGGAGCTACTGAACGGGATCCACGAAAGATCAGCGTGCGACGAGCACACGAGTAATCACTGTAGTTCTTCAGCTTCGTGAATCCGATTTGACGTCTGCTTGGCTGCTGCCAAGCTTCCCGCAGCTGCCGATTCGGGGTGCGCGAAGACCCTGTCCGAGCTGCCGGACCGGTAGACGCGTAGAGCGCCGGGCGGAGAGACATGGCGCTAGCACTACAGTCTTCAGTTCACAGCGTGTATGACTCTTTCATACTGGTGCGCTGCAGTTTCCTGCGCAGCGCCTCTGACCTGTACTTCGCATCGCTTCGCATGGTCTGCTACCACACGCATACTGGCGGCAGTTCTTCCTTTTCTGACCCTACAGCATGGTTAGCATGATTTGTTCTACGGGACAGCTGCGAGGGGAAGCAAGCGGATGCGATCGTGTGTGTTGCAGAGGTCCGTCCTTCTCTGTTCCTAACTGTTCCTGTAGATGGACCTATCTGCTTGCCTGCTTAACTATCAATCTATATCAAATGTTTTGTGTTTATCCGTCCGTCTGCCTATCCGCCTTATGTACAAACATAATTGCAGACATGCTGTACAGGCAACATTGTTGCATGACATGCATAGTGGACAGGAGTGAAAGCTAACGTACAGAAACGCACAAGAAAGAACCGGCAGCATGCAGGGTTCAAACAAGCAAAAGCTTAGCTAGCCCACAAGCAAAAGCACATTGGCAAAGCTACCCATGAGTGTGTATACACACACGTCTCCTGCTAAATTCCACGTGCATGCAAACCAGAACACCCGTATAGGCTCATGCAGGGCATGCGGAAAGAGGAAGGAAGCGAGGGACAGAGACAGAGAGTCACGCAAGGAAAGACAGAAATTCGGCGAGAGAGAGGGGCAGGCAGAGATAAAGACACAGAGAGAGAGACAGAGGGGGAGGGAGAGTGAGATAGAACGACGGAGCTACAGAGGGAGGTACAGAGCGAGAGATCCAAAGATTTTTTTTACATATATCTGTGTACACATACCTCTCTCTCTATATATATATATATATACATGTATGTATGTATGTATGTATGTATGTATGTATGTATGTATGTATCAACGCACACACACACACACATATTATGTATATACACATACGTGCATACATACATACGTACATAGATATATACACATAATACAAATATAAGCATACGAATGTATTGTGTTTATGTATATGTTTATGTTTGTGTGCGTGTGTGTATATATATATACACCTATAAATACGTACTTTTACATACCATTTCAGGCTGTAAATCCACATGTCCATGTAGGTGCAGGAAGATCTGTGACGAGGCAAACAAGCGAAAACAGGTTCCAGGAAGCTAGCTTCACAAGCGAGCTGACAAACAGACAGGCGGTTTCTAGATGTATAAGCAAACGAAGAGGCAGATGGACAGACAGCCATGTCGGCGCGCAAGCGAACATGCATGTAGACGCAACGAGAGACGACCAAGGCATCGTAATGAACACCAACAAGACGCACTCTGGCAGCGGCCTTGGCAACCGTTTTCACAGACATAGCTAAGATGGAAGCAGGTACAATGAAGAGTGAAGAGGCATAAGACACTATAGAACTGTTCTGAAATCATGCAAGGTAAAACAGATTCGGATGATACGACGCTACAGCACTAAACAATCAAAAAATGATGACATGAGAAAGCTACAGACACAGCTGGGGATCGAACTGCCATGATGGCAGGCACACGGCACTTGGCTCGGGATGAATGGTTTTGCAGACTCACGGACACCTGGCTACAACTTCTCTGATATCCGGCGTAAGCGCCAAGGCTAAGGAAGAGCTGAAGTGCAATACCCCCAAGCATAGTGTTGCAGTGGTGGTGAAGCTGTGCTGAAAGCTGAACATCTGGCTTACTTTATGTCATAAAGTCTATGAGTGGACAGCCTGCTGCGACATGTATTCGAGGGCTCAAGCTGCTTGACAAGAAATGCATATTCAATGAAACGATACATAGCAGGAGATCGGGCACGTTCACCAGGAAACACAAATATGCATGAAGCGCATGCTGCAAGCAGCAAAAGGCTTCAATCATGATGCAGAAGCCTTCACCAAAGGAGTCAACATGATACCGCCTTTTCTCAGCGCTGCATGGAAAATGTTGGAAAAAACTGTGGGGCTAATGCAGGACAACTTTTCGTCTAACCCGACCGCGCGGCAACTGCTCTGTCCGTTGCCATCGCCAGGCTTTCGGCGAATAGCAGCAGAATCAGAGCCATGCTTTTCGAAGCGACTAGCGCTTGGATGTCGATGAATTCGCATGCGCACCCACACACATGTATGTAACACATGTATGTATGTATGTGTATATACATATATACATATATATGTAAATGTGTGTGTATATATATATATGTACATATATATGTATAATACAAACACATACATACATACATACATACATACATACATACATAAATACATACAGACATACAGACATACAGACATACAGACATACATGTGCATACATACTGCGTCCATTTGATAAGACTTGAGGATATACACGCAGGTACAGATTCATGCAACATACTGTTTTAGGTGCAAAATCAGCAGGAAGCATCGACGATAATCACATGGTTGTGTCAGTCAGCGCTGACTGACACCACTGTTTCGCCCGAGGTGCTCGAATCCACCACAACCTCGGCATGCGAAATGCAACTGATAAGGGATGCACTGCGTCAAAGCCAGTTGCTTCAGCAGTAAATTCGACGGACTGTGAGATTACACTGCACGTCTGGATGGCAGCGGGTGCAGGTGAGAATCACGCAAAGCTTAAACTGATGTGACCACACGGTCCGGTCCGAGCAGCTCTTCGTATAGGTTTGGCTTCGAGAGCCTGAAGTTATGCAACCAAACTCTGAAAGCACACGGCGGAGACATGGCGCGGAAACAAAAAAGCACGCAGCAGCTCATTGCGCTACTAGAAACAGCTGCCCCTCCCGCATTCCGACATCTAACCCAAGCCTGCCATCCCGGCTTGGCTTGAACATGTCACTCCTCACTGCAAAAATTGGAAACCGTGTCGAGACCTGAGCCCCTAAAGACAGGAAACCCTCAAATCTTATATACCCAGACCAGACGTCCTGAAGCTAAAACTTCCTATGTAAACCGAAGCCTTGTAGTTCAGGATGGCATAGGCGACAGGATCTTCCAGCGAACCTTGTGCTTGGGCACGGGAGGTAGCTTTCGCTCACCCCAAATAATGGAGTAGAACAGTGCAGAACTTCATCCGCTGCCGGGACCGAACAGCCACACGTAGCAATATACACCAACATAAGAACAAATGTTCATGGGTGCACATCTGCGCAGATACTATAGAATCGGAAAGTAATACATGAACAAATGGAAGCTATGATGCAATATCATGCTTGTGGGCATAATCCCTTCCCCCTTTTATTAAACACCTCCCCTAATAATAAAAAGACATTGGTGCAAATCCTCCCACAGTCATCTCTGCCTTTAAAACCTATTCTGAATTAGGGGGGAGGGTTTCGAGGCTCCAAATACCCTTAGAGCAGGGGTGTCGTGTAATATGAGGGGTGAGGGAGTGTATCTGTATATATATATATACACACACATATATATATATATATGTATCGAGAGAGAGAGAGAGACATGTGCGTGTCCAGTGTGTGTGTGTGTGTGTGTAGGTTACAGAATATTATGGGCTTGTGAATGTTTGCGTGGCCGTGACGCTTAGGAGTGCCACTGCCTTTACGCATATGGAATGCAGTATCGGTGCAACGTTTAACACACTACAATATGGAAGCAAATCCACGCATAGCCATTCATCCACCGATGTATCCGTATCTATACCTATGTGTGTACCCATACCTGTGCGTTGTCTAAATCTAGCTCTGTATCTAGAACTACCTCTATGCATTCGCCTATATATATATATATATGTGGTCATATATATATATATATACATACAGATGCCGATATATGTATACATATTATATGGAGAGAGCGAGAAGAGACAGAGAGACAGAGAAAGAGAGAGAAAGAGAGTGGCAGAGTGAGAGCCAAGTACTTATCTATGTATACATGTACATGTGCAAGAGTGTCAGCAGTGCAATGGTGATAACGATAGTAGTCACCATACTGGCATGATAATAACTGCCCTAGTAAAGATCACGTTTTGTCGCACTTGCCATGAACACAGCGAATCCTAACACCGACAATTCGTCGAAGACGGGGCACGCCGCAGCACCCGGCGAAGCGAGCGAGCACCGAAGCTGCCGGCGGGATCCTCCCCTCCTCGGCGTGCTAGCATAACTTTCGCAGAAACGACTCATTCGTGTGGAACGGCTAAAGTCGAGAGCAGCAACACTCCCCGCCACCGGCGCTCCTGCTCATCCTATTGGTCTCTTCTGTCGCTGTATCTCTCTTCTCCCTTTTGTTTTGTTCTCGCTCTCCCTCTGACTCTTTCTCTCTGCTTGCTTGCTGTGCGTATGGGGATAAGGGGCAGGTCTCTGCTCCCCTGCGCTCAACGTGCTACGCCAGTGTCCTGGTTCCGGTCGCGTCGGTGTGAGACTTCTCTCTGTCTCTCGCTCTCCTCGTTCTTTGCTTCTGCAGGGCTTTGGGGTCGTCTCTGTGTCTCTCTCTCCCTCTCCCTCGCTGTCTCTATCTTGCTCTCTCTTTCTCTCACTCACTCACCCACTCACCCACTCACCCACTCACCCACTCACCCACTCACCCACTCACCCACTCACCCACCCACTCACTCACTCACTCACTCACTCACTCACTCTCACTCTCTCTCTCTCTCTCTCTCTCTCTCTCCACGGGGCATAGGGGCAGGTCAATGCCCCCGGGCGCCAGGCCCACCCAATAGTGTTTATTGGGCATAGGGGTGTGAGAAAAGAGTGTAGATCGTCAACGGTGGAAACCTTAGTATATACGATGAAGAATGTGACGATCGTACACTCCACGAAGACACATGCACAGGAACGTTGACCGCTGACTCACAACAGGAAGTATCCACGACGACTACAGTAGCAATAACCTTGCAGCGACGTTCCCCTGTGGAAAAGTGGAGGCACTAGCCGAGGAGCAGCGCTCACTCTCTCTCTCTCTCTCTCTCCATCTCTCTCTGTCTTTCTCTCTCTTTGTCTCTCGCCAAGCAACAGAGTTGTGTGAGGGGGATCAGCAAGAGAATGGTACTCACTCTTATTTCTTTATCTCTTTCTGGTACGGCGGAGCTATCCAGTTTTGACGCTCCCTCCCCGGCTCTCTCTCTCTCTCTCTCTCTATGTCCCTCCCGGGCATGGAGAGCATTCGAGACTCCCCGGGCCGATGGCCCAGCCTTGTAATTAGGGAAGAAGTGACACTCGTTCCCAGCTCCCAAAGAAAAGGCGCTAAAAAGAATATTAGCCGTCTCTCATTCTTTCGCCAGGGCTGTGGTGGGGAGTTGCCTCCCCACCGCGCGCGAGTGCCCCCCCGCCTGTTGCGGGTGCCAAGAGCTTCTGGAAGCGTGCACAAAAGAGGCAAGGGTCGCACAAAAAGGACTCAAGCTCCACTACGGCACCCAACCAACAAGGAAAGACTACCACGTCTCTCTGTCTCTCTCTCGCTCTCTCTCCCCCTCCTTGCTCCTTTCTGCGACATGCCTGGGGGGAAGCCGCGGTAGGCAGCTAGGACCCGAAGTACATGCAATGTTGCATCTTTTTCTCTGCCAGCGTCGTTCAATCTAGATCAGCTGGGGCCCCTCATGAGCCCCATTCCGCCATCACAAACGATGCACTGTCCCGTGATTTGGGTCTCGCTTGCCTGAGCCAGGAGTGTCATGACTGTGTTGCCGCGAGGCAAAAAGCGGTGCTTCTTGCCAGATGTTGGAGGACGCTATCTCGTGCATCAACCAATAAAGCATCCCTCTCGAAAAACATATGTCAGAGCCTCCAGAAGCATGAGAATTGTCGCCGCTACTTTGTCCTCACGAGGCACCAGTGCAAGGTTGGAAGAAGTACAGACCGCGTGGGTGTCGACCATTATCATGACGAGCAGCCGGGGTTGCCACGGCCTTCATGGGGATGCTGGTTTCCAGACGGTCTTTGACGTAGTCGTAGAGATCAGGACCCATGCCTGAAAGATGCTCCGAAAAGCCCTAAGACTCGGAGGTCCATGGTACGGTGCGGCGAACTTGTGCTCTGCGCCTTCTCGAAGCCATCGGCCTTCAATGAAGCCCGGGCAAACGGCGTTCACGACGATCTCCGGCCCGAGGACCTTCGCCATGACCTCAGAGTTTCTAGAGATTCTACGCAATTCTACACGACTTCATGCTTCAGGGACATGCTGAAGCCCTTTGCGCTGGGGACTGGTCCGCAGTCAGAGCGTTCAGTGCAGCCTTTGACATCCTTAGCGAAGGATAGCGAAGGCATGGGCACACAGCGAGTCTGTGGTGGTGGCATGCTGCGAGTGCTTCAATTGCAAACTCGCATCAGATAGGCCACAGAGCTGCCAACCTTAATTCGATTGCTCGACTTCGACAGCTGACTTGCACAAGGCGACTGCGAATAGACACGCTATGCAAGCAGGGAGCAGTGTGGTAAGCCCCGGCTACTGAGGAGACGTTGACGACGCGACCTCCTCCAGCCTCGCCAGTGCTGCAGTGGCTACCAAGGCCACACCCGCGTACACACGGCGCTTTGCTGCCAAACACGGCACCGGCCTTCCTCATGTGTGGAGCACATAATCGGATCATGTTGAAGGCACCGATGGCATTCAGGTCCTGAAGACTGCGATTGATACGTCACAGAAACGCTGCATCATGAACTTGGTCTGAGCAAGCTGAGGTTCGTAGATGCGTCGGAAATCAGCAGAGTTTAGGCCTTCCAAGTCGCCATGGTGAACAAACTTCGTTGTACCGGCATTGTTCCTTAGAGGCCAGACGTTACAGACCAACATGTTCGAGAGCTTTGCTGAAGCCTCGGTATGGCCAAGTTTCACCAAAAAGTCAACTCGCCCAAATCTCTTGACCTGTCTCAGCAGTTTCCACACACTACTGTCGGGACTGTGGAAGCCAGTTCAACAGAGGCCCTCGCTGTTTCTGCGACGAGCTTCTCACAACCGGCATCAGTGGCAACGTCCGCTTGGCAGAGGAGCACCTAAACAAGTTGTAAGCACCTCAAGCAAAAGCGACCATGAACTGCCAGAATGCCGTCCCGATGAAGTTCCCTGCTCGTGCCTGAGCACCGCTGGCTGCACAGCCCTGTCAGCTGAGTGCCAGTGCTGCTGGAAGCGGAATTGGCGCTGCTCAGCGTGCCTCGGCAACCTTTGCCGCGTCATCTGCACTTTTGGAGAAATTTACGACCTTGGTGGTGGAGACGCGGAGAGCTTGCATTGGAGGGTAGAAAGGCACGAGGCCTATAGTCGCTGGGCACTGGGACCCCTACCACACTGCAGCCACGTTCAGCCAAGCGCCGCGAGAGCGCGGCGCCGACGCCAGAGGAGGCGCCGGTGACGATGGCGACCTGCACGAAGCGGGTGCCGCTTGTGGAGATGGGAGACGGCGACGTGCGTAAGAGGGATGCACTGGCCTTGCCGGCGAGCGGCGCAAGCTCTCCTTGCAAGCTTCATCGTTTCGTACTTAGGTGCCTCGCGCCAAATTTGGCCATGCCTGCGACTGGCCGCGCTTCAAGCTGCGCCGCCAGGCGCCGCACACGACCGGCAGCCATGAAAGCGGCGAGTCCACGAGCAGATGTCTATGCTTAGCCGGCTTAGCAAGGTTGGAACTTCAATTTATTGTTCCAGCCTCTTCGAATCTGGCAGTCTTGCGGAGAAGCCTTGTGCTGACAAGCTGAATAGCACTGCCATCCCAAACGAAGACTCGTCATGCAACCTGGTTGAATACGGCTTGAATGTATGTAGAGCCATAGAGGGCAGGCCGGCTAAGCCAAAAAGGTGCCTTCACCGTTGCAATTCTCGGTAGAAACCAATCCTGAGATCCCTGCCGATTTTCGCCAGGACTTCTTGACGCCAACGATCGCTGGGCTCGATGTAGGCCATGGGGTAGCTGCGCTGCAGTCGGCCCTGAAAGTCTTCCACCAAGCCATCGAAGACCTTCGCTTGTGGAGATCTCAGTGCTGCATCGCTCCGCCGAGTCAAGTCCAGCCTCCCGAAGCGTCTCAGAAGTCAGCGACCTCGGAAAGCGACTCCCAGCATCCGCGGCGGAACACACACCCCAAAGCGAGAAGCCCACCCTAAATCATGGCAAAAGGGTGAATCTCCTCTCAGTGATTTATGGCGTGGCCTCATGCAAGCCCAGCCATCGAGGCGATCGGCCAGCGCGCGTGGCAGCGCGGAGGGGCCCGCTGGGTCATTTGATGTGAGGATGATGACCTCAGTTGCAGGCAGTTGGAGACATTTGCTTGCACTGAAATATTGGCGGAGATGGACTTGTGACAGGTTCGATACCGTCTCGTCTATGTACCGGGATAAGCTCGGGTGCCTCTCGAGCAGGTTTGCCTTCCAAGTCATGTGCGTGGGGAGGGTTTAGCTTTTGCTGTAGCTCACCACTCGTGGTTTTGGCCACTGGCACATAACAAAAAAGATACAAGCTGAGGAGGCCTCGATTACTGTAAGCTCTGTCTGTGATGATGAGTGAATTGGCTCACTGCGCACTGTTACCGATTGCAATAACGATGACATGTACACGGAACCCCAGAAGGTTCGAACATGGGTTTCGGATGATTAGTGCTGGGATCCGTTATACTTTACCTTAAGGGCATGAGGAGTATAATGTTCCAAAATTATGGCTTCAACTGTACAGGGAGTCGGTCAGCTATCAGTTCAATGCTGGAGGAGACAATGAGTACGGCACAGTCTCTTCGCACCGGGCATCACGGTCCAACTTGCACAGCCCGCAAGGTTGTAAACGAGGCACGGTATGTCGAAAATCTGCTCGACCAACACCCTCCACACCGGGCAACGTCAGAGAGGCTTCCTGCCCATGCGAGGCAATGCAAGCACAAATACAACACGAGTAACTGTATCCATCAGGGAGGCTACAAACTCAACGAAACTGCGGCTTTTCGTCATTTTGTCAACGAGTGCTTCTGTCGGTCCCTGCTGGCCAACAAGTGCCCAAACCATCCCAGCTCTCCGTGTGTGCGCTCATGCTCGTGCTTCCGCAAGTGCCCATGCAACTCATCCCCATACAGGTATATGTATCTTGTCATTCACACAACAAGACCGGACCCCTTGGCTAAGAAGGTCTCTTCTCTTCTCCTCCAGTACTTCCAGGAGCAACCCGAGGAACTCGGGTTGTGCTTTGTCCGCTTCATCGATCAAGACCTCAGCATACTCGGGCCAAGAACATGTTTGGCCTTACTTCACCATCAGCGCATTCCAGGCCAAGGGTCGACACCTGAAAAGAGCCCCCAAGCTTTTTGGACATGCTTTTGGCGCGATCGAGATTTGTCCAATGTCCAGCCCAAGCTGCCACCGAGTGGGGTCGCCTGCGGACGCCCTTGACCAAAGCGGCTCCTGGGCGCAAGGCTTCCACAGGCTAGGGGCTTAAAAGGGTCATGTAGACCCCTGATTGATCACTTCCTTCCTTAATCAAAAATTACAATGCGAATCTAACTGTTTAGACTGATGAGCAGGTGCTGGCATGTCCGTGAGCCTGCGTGTAGTACATGGTACCGGTGGTTTTGTTTGCACTTCCATCTATCCGTGCATCTGCACATGTGTCTCTCGGTCTATGCCCCGTGTGATATACATGTATGCATGCCGAGCATGTACAGGCAAAATTACATATGTCATAGACATAAACATATATACAGGACAGAACGAAAGAACGAGAGATAGATAGATGGATGGATAGATAGATAGACAGGTAGACAGGTAGGTAGATAGATGGAAAGATAGATGGCGGTTGGTGGACATATCATATACAGTTTGATATACTTTGCATGTGCGTATGCATGTGCGTGCAACACGGACACAAGCACAAACATGCGTATGTGTGTGTGGATGTATACATGTATATGTACACACAGATAGATAAAGATAGATAGATAGATAGATAGATAGATAGATAAATAGATAGATAGATAGATAGATGGATAGATAGAGGGATAGATAGATAGATAGATAGATAGGTAGATCGGCAGATCGATAGATGGATAGATAGATAGATAGGTAGATAGGTAGACAGATAGATAGATAGATAGATAGGTAGATAGGTAGATAGGTAGATAGGTAGATAGGTAGGTAAGTAGGTAGATAGGTAGATAGGTAGATAGGCAGATAGATAGATACATAGATAGATAGATAGATAGATAGATAGATATATAGATATGTAGGTAGATAGATAGATAGATAGATAGATAGACAGGTAGATAGATAGATTGATTGGTTGATGGATTCATTCACTAACAGTTGTCTGATAGGCAGATAGGTAGATAGGTTACATGTATAACTATTAACTTATTGGCTTGATTATTGGCTTATTGTTCAATAGTTGGTCATACTATATGTATATACTTACCCGCGTACACGCACACATGTGCCGCATCTTGACGATCCATTCATTGAGTGAGAGACGATAGACGAGAGACAGTGCGAAAGAAAGAGCTAGAGAAAGAGAGAAAGAGAGAGAGGGGAGGGAAAGACGGAGGGAGGGAAACGGCATCATAATGGTGCCCATGGGCACCATTTGCACGGATTGTCTTTTGGCTTCTGGGCTTGGCGTTTTAGGCCATTACATGGGCTTTGCGAGGGTGTAAAACGCATGTATATACAATTTTGGGATACCGTCAGGTTGTGCTCAACAGTGATACTATATGGGTGTTGTCACTGTGTGTTTTGCTGTGTGACTTTGGCTTTGGGTGTTGCTGTGCGCCCTGTTCCACCCCTCCAGGAAAGGATGGTTAGAACCCACTTAGTAAAGGTTTTGGGGTTGAGGGCCAAGGATTCTGGGACACCACCCGAACTATCCTGCGTCCTGATACTACTCACAGACCCGCAATCCCCTCCCTTGATGGGGCGCAGTGCTGTCCTGCGCCCTCAGCGCTGGAGGCACTGGCACAGTCCTTACTAGGCAAGGTTGACGGTCTGTTGGATCTGTCCACAGGGTTCTTTTATCGATCGGCCACATGCAGTCTTGTGGACACCCACAACAGTCCCACCCCATCACTTGCAGTTGGGCCTTTGAGGGGCCTTTTCCGAAGCACTTCAAAAACTCTTCATGCCTCGGTTGACGATACCAAATGTCGGCGTGCAACGGATCCCAATCAGACACAAACCGGGTAGAGATGCCACCAGTTATTGTACAGGGTAGCTGCAAATCTTCGAGAGTTTATCATTAACAATAAAGGGTGACCTGATTGCCGACGCAGAAACTTGAAACATCACTGTGCCTTCAGTAGGACTCATGGACAAACCAAGTAGCGATCCTCACCATAGCACTGCGTGAGCCGAGGGAGACCTCCGCGAGGGCCGCTGCGAGCGAGGTCTTGCCCACGCCTGCACGAGGAGCACTCAGACGGAACGACCACCGTGAACAAAACTTGTGCTTGATGCAAACACGGCCTTTCTGGATTTTATGCATTGCAGAAAAACATCCGTTCATAAAGTTCTCTCTTCTGCGACAGAACGGCACAGTCACGACTACCCACATCTTGCCTGGAGGCCCGTACAGCAGCAACGATCCGATCGGACGGTGAAGCTCCTGTCCGCATGTTTGTCCGTTCATCAGGGGGAAGACTCTGAACACCATTAGAACCACGCAACATGCAGGAACAACGATCCGAGCTGTCGGGCTGAGTCGAATCTGGAGCAGTTGTGCGAAACCTACCAGCAGGATGTGACTAGAAATTCCACGACGACCAAGCGAGATGGCAGTCATAATATCAATAGTGTTTTCCTCAGACTCAACTCTGCCGTTTGCACCTGATCTCAGGTTCGAGGCCCCCCGAACATGGTCGTTCTGATGAATATTCTATCAAAATCCTATCAAACCTCTAAGTGTTGCCGTTGGTGCCTGCAGCTGCACCCGGGCCCGAGCCACCGCTGCAGCGACGAGACGTACAGCAGCCTCCTGGCCACGCACACGGGCTCGCAGAGCCTCCTGGCAGGGGCGGGGGTGCGTTTGGAGGTACATGCCATGTACACTCACTTGTAGATGCGAGTGTATGCATGTATGATCATGTATCAGGATGCATGTCATTGAGGCACTTTTTGGCACTTGCGCCTCGAAGCTTGCTCTTAAACTGTCCACGGACGGTTCGACTGGGACCCGAGAGGCCTCCAGGTCGAGGATGCTCCGCGCTTCCACTTCGGACACCTACATGTAGCGGATTACTTCGCCACGGCTCCGAGGCTTTTACAAACGTCCAGACCATATAACTTAAGGGGCCTGGACCCCAAGGAGCTTGGGATTTAGTGGCAGGCATGGGCAGCCTCCTTCATTGAATTGAAGCTTGCGGATGTGGGGCCGCTCCAAATGAGGGTTCACTTGCGGGCTTGTTGTGGCACTGCTGCATGAAACTAGGTAACTAGGTACTGTGTACAGAATCTGAATTTCTGAATGTTGAACAATGCCGATCTGCCGTGTGGCTGCATGCTTGCGTTTAAACCTCTATCCCACGCTTGCTATGAGATAGACTGCAAGTTTTGCATCGCCCAGATTGCCGAATTCCGCGGACATGGTGGTGCTCCAAAGTAAGGCAAGGAACAGACCCCGGGCTCATGCCGACAGACTCTTCGAGGGCAGCTGCGACGTCCTCCGTCTCGACAAACACCTCGAGCACTGCTGCATAGGCTTTTTGAGTGGGTGACTTGGTATCGGCACCGGAATGGCATGCTCACTCAATATTAGAGGTTTGCAGTGCTAAAGAAATACTTGGGGAGGTAGGCTGCGCAAAACCGACACGAAGCCCAGTGTGCTCAAGTGCATGCCCGCTTTCAGAGCTTACAGCTTCCTCCTGCAGCGAACCTGCACGACAGGACACCACACAGGCCTTGTCTGTACCACCTCCACCTCCTCCTCTGCCCTTCGCCAGGACGGCGCTGCGGTCCATCACATCAATCGCCTCCAAGCTGGAACCGACACCGGGAAGATTTCCAATTGAAGCTAAAACTAAGCTGACCAAGCAATAACTCTGCATCACAGGGCAAGGAGGTACCTAAGCATCTCGGCAGGGCGTAGCCTTGTCGGGCAGCTTGCGCTCAGGGAGGTAGCGCTCCGACCAGATTGCTGCCGAGGCGAGGGCAGCATCTTGGAACCTCATGAAGACAACAGATCCCGCTGCAATAAGGTGCTGGTACAGTGCCGGGAATTTAGAACAATTATTTGAGCAAGATTGCCAAGCAAGTTTGCAATCTTGGTCTCGCCGAGTAGTTTACCTTTTAAACCAAATGCAAGTGGGGCAAGGGGGGTGGGGAGCAAGATTGCCAGCAATTTTGCAATCTTGGTCTCCAAAAGGTAAACTAGTCGGCGAGCAAGTGGAGCAAGGGGCAAGATGACCAAGATTGCTTGGTACCAAGATGGTTCCATCAAACAGTTGTTCTAAATTCCCAACACACTGTACTGGTACTACTGCGACTCGAGACAGTTACCATCACTATTCAAACCAAGCAAAAACCTTGCCCTCTTCATCACGATCTTCATCACCATGCCTCAATGACCGTCACCACCGCCCAGACTTTCGCAGCCGCCATCCTCATCTTCAAACCCCCTGAATCACCCGAGTATCACCATTGAAGTATGCTGTAAGAAATCGCACCCAGTTTAGTTTCTTGCACACATGGTCAGGTCGGTCAGGAAAAAGGAACACGACACCACAATCACTACAACTTTCATATGCGATGACTAACGACCCTGCTGCTGCTGCGGCTTCTTCTCCTGCTACTGCTATGCCGCCCCTACCCCTCTCTTATTGCCATCACCTCTGCTACAACGAGGAACACCAGGACGGCTTCTCCCTCAAAGCGGCTTGCACCGAGTTGGTCCAGTCAAGGCACCGAACCCCATGGTAGCGCTCCTTGCAAAAGGCATCGACAAGTGGTCTTGCAAGATCTGGATCCTGTACGAACAAGTGTAGAGGACTTTGGCTCGCATCTCTTGTCTTTCATTCCAGTCCCCTTCGCAACGCCTTCATAAAAACGAGCATCGTAGTGATTCCGGAGACCCTCCAAGACCACCACCGTCTCTTGAGCTGTGGGCTCCTGAGCTGGGGCTGCCGACTTCGCCAAGCTGATGCAAGCAGCGATTGTGACATCCCCGAACCCGGGCCTCCACCTCCACCACTTCAAATCGCCTCTCCAGGGCTGCATCGCGGGAGAAGTACTGGAAATACTCCTCCATGGTTGTGGCGGCGATGCACTGCAGCTGGCCACGAGCCAGCGCAGGTTTCAGGATGTCGGCCGCGTTCTGTGGGCTGGAACCTGTGGCACCGGCTCCGATCAGCGTGTGGGCCTCGTCGATAAACAAGACGCTGCCTGAAGCCGCGGCAACCGAAAAAGTGGAAACATCAGCAGAGCGTCATCTTCTTCTGCTTCGACACAAGCTTGAATTCTACAGTGACCCTTGCTTGCATGCAGTCAACTTAAACTTCCTGCCGCATGTAAAGCTGCCTTCTTGGTCCACGTCCTCGAGGAGGAAGCGCAGTCGCTCCTCGAAGTCGCCCCGAAGGCGAGTGCCCGCAGTGAGCAGTGCCACATCCAGGCTCCTGAGCCTGCAAAGTGAACAAGCATCTTGGTGGTGTTCCTTTAGGAAGTATAAGCCCGCTGTGCCTAAACAGAGACATGCACATAGCACGACTCAGTGCAGCCAGACCCCTTTGTCGACAGCTCCAACCGTGTACTAGCAACCAATTTTGCCTACAAGCGCAGCGGATCTGTTGGCAAGCCTCTTGCCAGCCAGCCAAGTAGGGGCACGGCCCGCAGCAATTCGCTGCGCCAAAGCTTCTACCTGAATGTCTGCACCGCAATTCAGCTCCGTTTCTGCCCAGTCCTGTCCGCATTCCAAGACGACAGGAGCCATACCAAATCTAAGCGAGCCGCCACGGCAGTCTTCCCAACACCCGGGTCGCCCACAAGGAGCACATTCCTCTTCATCCGCCTCCCGGCTGCATGCTAGACTACATCAGTGTCTGAAGCGATAGTCTTGTTTGGTGACGGTAAAGCTGCGGCTCTTCAAGTTACCGAAGGGCAAAGCGCTCTGCTCGGTTCAAGAACGATTGTGTTCGTGCGCGCTGCCCTCTTGAACCATGTAGACTCCTGTCTCACCTCTCTTTCGCAAGCTGCGCCTGTCCCCAAGCAGCAAACACGGCATCAGCACAGTCAGCAGAAGCCCCGAAGTGTCGGACTAGATTCGCTTGATCATGGCTTCTGGAGAGAAGCATTCCTACGGCACGCAGCGACATGGATGCAATTGCACACATATCCAAACACAAAGTTGTACCAACAGCAAAACACACAATGTGCTTTTGCTGCACCTACTGCCCCAACCTAGAAGGACGTTCTACAACTCAGTTCTGTAGGATGAGGCATTTAACACACCGATGTCGGAATAAATCGAGGCGTCAAGCAGTTCCGAAAATAGCCACAAAACCAGCTAAACCTTCACGAACGAGTGTAGAACCCTCTTCCTATCACACAATGCCAGAACTGTTGATGCTACTCAGCTACTCGCTTCTGCCGGGACACCGGCCAAGGGCTCGCTCCACACGGCTCAAGAGCGCCTCTCGGCCCGTGAAGGGATCCAGCCGACCCTCCTGCGGTGGGTCAGCACAGGTCTAAACTGCATGTGTGAATTTTGCATGGTGCTTCTGCTGCTGTCGTCGCTGGTGGCTGGTGCGGGGACAACAACGCCGACAACGACGGCAGCTGCCGTGCAGCGGCTGCTTCTGCGCTCTTGTTGCCACAATGGCTCACATCATCACCAGTACTACGGTCCAAGCACGACTACTGTACTACCACTGAGACAGATGCATGCATACTGTAAGGGCGATGACGCACAAATGAGCGAATAAAAAAAGATAGTCTAGTGCTCAGCAGGAGCCTTGTCATTCTCATCATGATGATCATCATCATGAAGACGGTTATGCCTCCTAATTTCACGTTCCTGCCTTCACTTCGTCGTCGTCAACCGCCTCTGTGTGTGTGTGTGTACCTACCTTTCCATGCATCCATCCAACCATCCATCCGTCTAACTGTCCATCCATGCGCGTGTGCATGCATATGTATATACATATTCTGTGTGTGTGTGTGTATGAGTGTGTGTATGTATATATATATATATAGATATATACCTACGTCTATATTATATATATGTGTGTATATACATATATATAAGCCCATGTATGTGTATATATATATATATGTATATGGTACACCCCCCTCCCCCGATGTACCTACGTACTTGGTGGGTTTATACCACCGTTGTGTGTTCGCAGAACTTCTTGTGCGCGGGCGCTGGCCTCAGCCACTAAATACGTTTTCCTGTACTTTTCGCGTCACCCATGTCTCATCTTCTATCTGTTCCCTAAAGTCTCACCGACTCGCCGTCAAGCATTTGCGATACGTGTCTTATTGTTTCTCATAGAGCATGAATCCAGTTGTGTGACGCTTCATTCTCTTCGGCCTCATCCCTCCATGCTGCTAAAGCCACACAAGAGGCAGTATGCACACAATACCCACGAACACTCAAAACTCGTGAACAAGTGTTAGAATAGCTAATCGGTGCGGCAGCACAAGAAGGAACGGCGCAGCAGTTCAGTGCTAATGCGTTCGTAGATGATGACTACCCCTTATTTCATTGAGAAGGAGATACCACAAGAACACGCGAATATGCAGAGAGTATTCGCAAGCGACGACGTCATGCCATGCCCTTGCCATAACTTGAAGAGTACGCAAATGCTCGGGTTGTTTACCGATGAAATATTCAGCAGAGGAGGAAATAATGGGCTAGCAAACCTGTTACACAGCATCTTACTTGATATCATGTAGGTCTGAAGCATATACTAGTGGAACATTGGTTAAGCTGTATGTGAACATCACATGTTCGACGAATATTGAATGAAGTCTTACAAATTTCCCTCTTGTTACATGCTACTTACATATACGTAGAGAGCTCTGCACGGCAGATTCATTAGGTTTCCGGCGAGTATTTAGATGGGCTTTAACTATTGCATTAATCTGTAAGAGTGAGACACACCCTGAAGACGATGTACATATTCAGCGCTAAACGAAAATCTTCCATTATTGGATTGCAATGGAAAGATGCAGCGAGTATGACCCAAACACCAAACGAGCAATACACAGAATAGAGGAACAGAAGTGTAATGCTCAACAAGTAGGCTTGAAGTATCTACAGAGTGGTTCTGTATTACACACTGCTTAAATATCTGTCATGCTTGACTAAGTACTGACTACCTGTGCATCACATCTTTTTGCTTGCATTTACTTGTGCCGGTATGCAGTTGAGCACTAACTACATGTTAATATAGCAAAGAACTCAGCCATGTAAAATGGAACTATTGCTTAAGGTTTGTGTGCTCTCATTTGAAACCTTGCCTTTTTGTTGAAGTAGTTGTTAGGCACCGTATTGAACATCAATCAGTAATCAGGTATTAAGCCGATATTTGCATTTGTATTGGGCACTTCATCGTAGTTGTCTGGCACGTGTCCCAAAACCAATCTCAGATGGAATCCGCAACGTCGTGAGGCAGTTTCTTGCAGATTGTTACGTCCAACAGAAGTCATGGCAGTAATGGAGCTGCACAGACATAGTGATGATTTGAGCTCCAAGGGAGGGACGAAAGGGCGCAAACAATAAAGTCTCGCAAAACTTACTGTCTAGTAGCAGTGATACATGTCTGACGAAAATGAAACTGCCTGCATTGTTGCGGTGGTGCTTACAGTGCTTTTGGGCGCCGTGTGTGCCACTTGTATTGGTGTTTCCAATGTTTTGGGCTCCGTCTGTGCAGTCTTTATTGGTTGTGTGTGTGTGTGTGTATGCGTGTATATATGTGTGTACATATATATATATATATGAATGTATGTGTATGAGATATATCTACATACAGATAACTATACATATGTATGTATGTACACATGTATGTATGTCAATGTATGCTTTACGTGTCACTGCTCGTTAGTTTGAGCTACCAAACTTCCAATTGAATCAGGCCTCATGCATCGTAGATCTAGCTGACCAGACACGACGGCTGCCTACGCCGACATCGTGAATCAAAGTCCGACCCTTTGCCCTCCCGACAACCTCAGCACATCGAATCCTTGGCCAAAGCTGTGAGGTCGGGTGCGAAGCGGTCGATGGGCCGGCCGTCTGCACTGGAGGCAGGTGACGATGGCGACGACTGCCCGCGTTCGGTGAGGGCTGGCTCTGTCGCGCTGGCATCACCACGGCCCTCGTTAACGATCTCCATCAGAGCCTCCGGACTTGTGGGTCCCAAGAGGGGCACTATTCAAAAGAACATGCGTTTTCATTTAATGCATGTACCGAGGCTGTAGCTATTTGCATGCGAACATACTTACGCTCCGATGTCTCTAGCAAAGTACAGCATACGAACACAGTGAGTTGTGCATGTAATCATATCATATACTATACATATGTAGAATTTACTAATGTGCAGATAATTCAAGCCTAGGCACGATCTGGATGCTTAAACTCCGCTATGACAGCACGCAGAGGTCTGTGTGTATCCTGCCAATCAATATGGAAAAACTGTCGAATAGTGCAGCTTCTCGGCAATCTACAATACCAGACAATCGGACTGTACCTATTCTCACATAGTATGACAAGATGAACAATGATTCATAAGACGACCTGGCATAAGATCAAACAGTACAATTCAATATATCACAGTGGAACACAACATAATGGAATACGATACAATGAAATATGACATAAAAGCACATAACATAGCAAAGAATGATATGGTATCGTACAGGAAAAGCGAAAATAAGATAACACTGAAATGTCTGATATGGCATACAAAAAGATACTTACCATCCACATACATGCACACCTATACATACAGACATATGCGTGCGCACATACAGGCAGACGGACAGACAGGCAGACAAGCAGATGGACATACATGCGGTCGACTGTGATCGACTTTGTCCTATGTATCTGGTGATGGGCTTTCGTGACTGCATAGTCACTACTCTTTGTGCACTTGTCTGCCATTCGACATCTGGACGGATGGACGGACAAATGCATCAACACGTCTTGGTCGACACATGAACCGTCCAGCTCGACAGCGGCTTTCTCAGGCCTTCCGCAGTGCTGCTCGGCGGGGGTTGGACGCAGCACCGCCGGCCCCGGAGTCAAACTTCGTAACCTCGGCTGCGGGTGTAACATGCTTTAGCCATGTCCATCATGCACATCAACATTACACCGCTGTTACCAAGCATGGAGCATTTTCCGCCTTCGGGGCGGATCCAACTAGACTGGATGTTTTTTGGTTCATATCACCTGAGACCTGGACGGGCTTCCATCATGGGACAGGTTCTAGCTGGCTATCCGACGAAGGATTGCGGTTAAACCAGCGTTAAAATTCGAACACCAGTACACTCGCATCAGGCGGGCGGCCGTTCGATCGAATCCTTCGCCGTCGAATGCTAGCAAAAGCTTCCCAGCAGCATGGCTCCCATTGCTCAGGAATCCTCGGAGGTCAAGGTACGACGACCACCGACACAACAAGAAGAAAACGAACAAGAAGAAGAAGAACAACAACAACAACGACAATAGCAGCAACAGCAACAGCGACAGCGACAACAACAGCAGCAACAACAACAAAAAAAAACAGCAGTAAAGCGGCAGCAACAAGAAGAACAACAACAACAGCAGCAACAACAACAACAAAAGCCAATGAGCATGGCTTTTGCTGCTACTGCGACTGCTACTACTGCTACTAGTACTGCTACTGGTACTGCTACTACTACTAC